CTCGTTGCAGAATACCTTATTCCACCAGACTCAAAATTCTAGACCTAGAAAATCTAGAACTACACCACCTTCGGTACGATCTAAGTATAGTATATAAAATCATACATTGCAGTGTCCTACCTGTCAATGAATACTTCAGCTTCAACCATAACAATACAACAGCACACAACAGATACAAACTCAAGGTTAATTGCACCAAACTTGATTGCAGGAAATATGACTTCAGCAACAGAGTGGTTAATGTTTGGAATACTCTACCTGACTCTGGTTTTTTCCCCAAACCCCCAAAACTTTAACCCTAGACTGTCTACTATTGACCTCACCCCTTTCCTAAGAGGTCTGTAGGGGGTGTGCATAAGTGCACCAACATGCCTACCATCCCTGTCCTATTGTTTCTTTTATATTTTTCTTCTTATATGTATCCATGTATTCATAACTATGTTTTTACTTATACCTATTATCTTGTAAGCAATTGACAAATAAAAAATAATAATAATAAAATTTTAAGTTTGGCAGATGAACAATTCTTAAATGTAGCTGATTTAAAAACTCCAAAGGAGATTTGGCTAAAATGGAAAAGTGTGCATGTAAGTGCATCAGCATGTAATATTGTGCAATTATCGAGACAATTTGCTGCCCATGCAGACATTGTTGAATTAAACATGCAGATGACTGAATCTCAGAAGATGCTGTTGGTATTAAATAGTCTTGATGAAACATGGGACATCATTTCATGTAAACCTGAACAGGAATTACATATGGAAGCCCTTAAAGCTTGACTGATAGCTGAAGAACCACTTTAAAAGAAACCATGAGGGCTCCAAGGAGCAGAGAGCGCAAAGCAAAAGACTGGATGTCTGCAGAAAACAGAGCAACAGAAGAGATTGGATTACCTCAGGAAACTTAGAGAATTTTTATCTGTGGGGATAAAATTCATTTAAAGAAAGACTGTTTACAAGGGAAAAAAAACCAACAAATGGACAAGCTGCTGTTGCAAACTTTAGCTATTGCAATAGCAGGGACAAATGGGCAATAGATCAAATAATTATTAATAATTCTAAGTTGGTTTTCAGATTGGATCCAGCTGGAGGAGATATAGTAGCCCTAGCAAACAGTCTGAAGGCTAAAATCATTGGAAAAGGCAGTATGCTAATTCCATGTCTGGAGGAAAAGTTTAATAATATATTATGAATGCCTGAAATGAAGCATAATTTACTGAGTGTCTCCATTCTTGACAAACAAGGATGTGAGACCACATTTATAGATGGGAGATGTCATAAAAAGAAATGGGAGTGTATGTGCACAGGGCATAAAACAAGATAATCTTTATGTGTTGCAGGGACAAAAGGTTCAATGTACCCAAACACTTGGAAAGGTGGTACAACATGATTCATGCATTCATCTTTTGCACAGAAAGCTTGGTCATGCTAGCTTCAGAGTGTTGCACAAAATGCAACAATTTGAAGAAAGATTAACCTTAAAAGAGTGTAAGGCATAGACTGTGTAATATGTAAATAATTGAAGTCCAAGGCGCTCCCAGTAAGCAAGAATAGCACAAGGCAGACAAAAGAGCCTGGAATAAAAATGAAGCTTGTGATCAAGAGATATATCAGTCAGCAATAGGTAGCTTGTTATATCTGTCACAGTGGTCCAGACCAGACATAGCTTGTGCAGTGAGCATCTTAAGTTGCTTTACTGCTGCACCAATGCAGTTGCATTGGATGGGTGTAAAAAGAATTCTCTTGAATTTAGGTCTTCAAATATAGGTTTCTGAAGAGTTAAAGTAAAAATGTTATGCTGACAGTGATTATGCCAATGATATGCAAACCAGAAAGCCCAATTCTGGGGTTGTAGTATTATTTGGAGGGGCCTTAATTGGATGGAAATCCAGAAAACAAACTACTGTAGCCATTTCTATTGCAGAGGCAGAATTTATTGCTCTATCTGAACTTTGTTCAGAGGTAACTTGATACATACAGCAGTTAAAGGATTTAAACATAGAAGTTAACGAAGCTGTAACAGTATTTGAAGATTATGCTGCTTGCATTAAAATGGCAACAGGTGACAGGGTGAAAAATAGAAGCAAGCATATGCACATTAAGTATTGTATTGTCAAAGAAGCTATCAAAAGTAAATTAATTTGCTTGCTTCATTGTTCTTCAGAAGACAATCTAGCAGACCAAGCCATTAGGTGGAGTGCACCATAGGAAGAATATAAAATTATTTGGTTTTATGTCTATGCCAGTCATAAAGGGGGGAGTGTTACTGTATAAGACTTTATAAACTGGAATAGCCATGGCAACAAGCCAACCAATGGAAATGTTTTTGATTGAGACACAGGATTTACTGTGAGAACATATGAGCTGGCACTGGGTGTGATTCAGAGATGGTATTCATCAGGTTCTGACCAGTTCTGGAGAACTGGTAGCGGAAATTCTGAGTAGTTTAGAGAACCTGTGGTAACCTTCCCCCAGGAATGGGGAGGGAATGGAGATTTTGCAGTATCCTTCCCCTGCCATGCCCACCAAGCCATGCCATGCCCACCAAGCCACGCCCACAGAACCGGTAGTAAAAATTTTTGAATCCCAACACTGGTGTGGTTTAGTCTGGGTGTGGTTTAGCTATTCTGTGTTCAGAGTTCATTGGGGGTTTTTTTAGTTGTGCCTTCTCCCTACTATGTTACAAGAGCTGCATGGGTATTGTTTGCATGTATCATGTTTTTTTATATTTTTATAGATAAATAAGTTTTTTCTCTATTATGAATCCTGCTCAATTCTTTCAATGTCCACTGTGTGGTGGGTAAGTCTCAAATAATGCTAACATTTCTGATGTTTCTACTTTGCCTTTGCAAAGAAACTGAAGTAATAGTGGATTATCTAAGTAGCTGCTGTTGCTGCTGCTGCAAAAAAAGACTATATAAATTGACTACAAACAATAGCATGGCAAAGTAGCAACAATGTTACATTGGAATATTTGCAAGAAATACCATTTGTCTGCAAGCAAGAACTGGTGGAATCATACCAGAGGTGGTATTCAGCAGATTCTGACAAGTTCTGGAGAACCGGTAGCAGAAATTTTGAGTAGTTCGGAGAACCAGCAAATACCACCTCTGACTTGAGATTTTACAGTATCTTTTCCCTGCCACACCCACCAAACCACGCCCACAGAACCGGTAGTACAAAAAATTGAATCCCACCATTGTTCCACACCATAGTCAAAATAATAGAAAATGAAGAAACCAAAGTGCTCTGGGACTTTAGAATTCATACAAAAAAGCACCTAATACATAACACTCCTGGTTTAATAACTATTGCTAAGAAAGGCAAAAAAGGGTGGACAGTAGATGTTTCAGTAGCAATAGCAATAGTAAAACTATTGCTACTTATATACTGCTTCACAGTGCTTTACAGCTTTCTCTAACCGGTCTACAGAATCAGCAATCTGGGTCCTCATTTTACCAACCTTGGAAGGATGGAGGGTTGAATCAACCTTGAGCTGCTCAGAATCGATCTCTCAGAATCCAAACATCCGGCTGACTGAGCAACCAACCTTGATAAAAGCAATTGGCCAAAATTTCCAAAGATAATTGTTCCCACAAGCAATTTCAAGAGATATGAGATTCTGGCCATTTAATGTTTAGAAAAATATATTTTAATTTTTTTGTGTGTCTACAGTATGTAAACTTATACAATGTTGATGAAAGGATTCTTTATTTTTGACCAGCTATTTTAATTATAACAAAAATAATCAAAGAGTTACAAGACTATCAGATGTAATTTCATTACAATTTTTGCTTCACAGGAAGAAACAGAATTTAGCAAGCAGTGTAATAAAGTAGAATATGGATTACATCCAAGTACACTCTGCAATAAATTTATTTCCCAAAATTTCAGATTTGGAATCAGAGGATTCACAGGAATATGTCTATTGGTTAAAGAGAATGAACAAAAATGATTAATATGTTGGCTCAATTCTCAGGTGTTAGCTGCTTTGAAGAGGACATGATCTCTCGTTATCAATTGGAAAGAAAAGACAGTTAATCTGAGGTACCAATGAAGAAGGATATTTGTAGCTCAGGGTTGAAATGAGAGTTAATCTGTCTTTTATTTCTGAAGGAAAGGTCTGATAAACATGAATACATGTTTTGAAGATAGCCAAACACTAACTGATCTCATATTTTTTTGTTTTTCATCAATATTCAAGTTTCAAAATAGTTCAGTTTTGAAATAACTTCCTGCCACAAATAACTTAAAAGCAATTTGGGGCAGTGACTCATCTAATTATAATTTGACCTAGGTTTGATTTCTTAAGATAAATTACAAAAGGACAAGATATATTCCCTTGCATTTCCAAATAAATGAAACTGTTAGGGAACAGGATAGCAGAATTTCCTAAATTTCCATCTATTTCTAATTGCTAAAGGCCTTAAAGCCACAGAATTAACCAAAGAATTGTAAAAACAATGTGTCAGGAGACATTATCGCTGCTCTGAGTTGGCAGGAACAAGTCTCTGGAATGATATGAAATTTAAATGTTACAAGTGTCACACCTAGAACCTATACACACCTAGAACCTATACTGGCACATTCATTTGTGCTTCTGAATAAGAGCAAGCCAATAGTTTATAAATGTTTCATTTGAAACAATTTTCTTTCTAACTTGTTATATCTTTTTGATTATTATAGAAATTTTCCATTATGTGTTTGTGGTTCTGAACTAGTTACAGTAATAAAAGATTTTCAGATATAAAAGCTATGTTTTTCACATTCAACAGTAACCTTTCTGATAATGGAAAACCTCAGAAAGCAAATATTTCAGCCAAAAAACTTCTCTTGTGAGTGAAATTACAAGCAGTAAGATACTACTGCTCTGGAGACCTGAGGTGGCATCAGATCTCACTCTTTTAAGGGAGATCTTATCAAACTTTTTCCTCAGTATGCAAAGCACTTCTTTCCTGAGATTGAACCAACAGATGAGTAATCATCTAACATATCTGTGAAAATCCCGCAAAAAACATACTTTGAAACAAGAGGGGGTATTTTATAAAGTGACTTTCTTTGAACCATTAAAGTAGCTGCATCTATTTCTAGGCTCATCTAGCTGCTTTTTAAATTGCTTCTAGCTGTTTCTGTATCTGTGTCCTTTTACTATCATTCTGATTTTTGCCCCTTCAGTTCCCCTTGGGTATCTTAGTTAAACCTTGGGAAGGCTTTGAGAATAGTCTTTAAAAATTCATTTCAGGAATTTTTTGACTTTATCTATTCACATTCCTATTTCTTTTTAAAGCCATTATTATTACTCTTTAGGTTTTGCTTGAAACAACCTTTCCCAACTTCAGCCGTGCATTCTACAACTGTCAATCAATGACCATGAACTACAAACTTCTACGGAAATCTAGATTAGGAAGAGTTGGGTTGGACTTTGTTTTTCTTGGTCAGGTGACATTTCATCTTAAGATCACACCAAGTATACAAAATTGGCTATACGTTTGCAAATATTTTGTCTAAACTGCTCATCATAAGAATTTTTCCTGAGTCTCTTAGATTACAATAAAGCACATGGCCAATTTTTATCCTGCAGGATGGTATGTCATTTGTTAATTAAATTAAATATTGCACTACTCCTAAAATTAGAACTTTTTCTAGTAAACCTGGCAGGCACAAAATATAGTATGAAATGGAAAATCTTTTGCAGCTTTCTTTCACTAAATTAGGAAAAACATTGGGAAGAAAAGCAGGGCCTTTGAAGTTGCCTACCAACAAATATCATTTGAACAGGATATTGAATAGGCACACATTTAATCTAATCACATTTCCTTCTGCCACAGAGAGATAAACTTTATTTTCATCCCACCCGTTTTTTTTTGTCCCTTTGAGTCAGAGTTTTTGTCAAAATTCTGTGAAACTACAGTGATGCTTCAACCTATTCATTTTGCTGCTTCTTCTTCTTCTCCTTCTTCTCCTCCAGTGAACTGTGCAGAGTTGCAGGCTTGATGACCACTGCAAAACCATGACTCAATCAATCAAAATTGCAAAAATGCATGGAATGAAGAGAAAGAGAGAGATATATACACACATACAGACAAATACAGAGAGAAATGCTCATTTGCTTAGTTCTTCCTTTGTGGTGTTTGCTGCTCAATTAGATTATAAAAAGTAAGTTCTTCAGTCTTTCATTTGTTTTCAGAATGAATGCATCTACTTATTCAGGAGCATCTACAGAATGTGATTTTAAAAAAGTTAAAATAGTGATAGTGATAGTATAATTGAGGTTCTGCTGTTTCAAATAAAAATGGGCAGAACTTTAATCCTACCATCATCTTACCGTCATTGCCACTATCTTGACTTGCCCCTGAAATCACACTGAATGAGCATTCATGGAAAGATGCCAAAATGCATATTTTGCTGCATCATAGCAGTGAAGTAGAATAATATAAGAAAATTGATATTATCAGTCATGATGTCAGAATAACCATAATACTTACCACTATATTATATGAGACCCAACGGGAACTTTATAGAGCTTATCTCCATTTAGATGAAAGATGCCAGTGTTGCTAAATAACTTCCACTTACATTAACCAGCATGGCCAATGGTGAAAGATGATAGTAGTTCCAGGCAAGTGTTTTGAAGATCTACATTAGCCAATGCTGACTTAAATGCACATGCTTTTAATCTGTGAATGATGACACACTCAAAGCTAACATAATGAAGTTGTAGTCCCAAAAGAGCTGGAGGGCATCACGTTGAGCAATACTGATTCTAAACTTGAAGAAACTTTCTCCTTTCTTGAAGGACATACTTAGACAATATAATACAATTATTTGCCTGGAGTCTTTCTCACAGAAGTGAACAAGAAGTCTCCTCATATAAGATTTTGTGATCAGGAAAGGGAAAAATTTATTTACAGAGGTGAAAGTACTGAAATGAGCTTTAACATTTTCACAACAAAGCCAGTTTGGTTTATTTCTAAATTTTTATTATTCAATTTTTATTTCCATTTTTTAATATGCAGTGAACATACCTAATAATCCTACCTCCTATTTTCTCCACAAAAACAACCCTGTGAGGTGGATTAGGCTGAGATCAGTGACTGAATCAAAGTCACACAGTCAGCTTTCATGCTTAAACTGGGACTAGAACTCACAGCATTCTGATTACTAGACCAATGTCTTAACCGCTATTCCAAACTGGCTCTCTATAATAACACTTATAATAATAATATTTATAAATTCTTTTTTTATAAAATTTATAAATATATTTTTGATCACCTTGCTCCAATTAGGTGCCCTCCAGACGTACTGGACTACAACTCCCTGGATTTTTAGCAGCCACAAGTCAATGCTCTTGATGAACTATGACTAGATAGCAATGATGTGCCAAACCCTTGTTCCAGGGATGGTCTCTAGGAGTTTCTGAAAATTAACCCAAACCAGAAGTGGTTTGTGGTATTCTGACGGTGGCTCTGCCTTGAAACAAAAGCCACTTATGTTGTTTTCGACATGCTATTCTGACTGTTCCATTCCCCAAATGGTGGGTTTTGCACATTCTAATACATAGTAAACCAGTTTAAACAGAATAAAGAATGAGTACAAGAAAATACATAATCGTATTTTTTTACTGAATGAAATAACAAGTAAAAATCATGGTGTTATAGTCTGTTGTTTTTTTAAAAAACTAGAACCATAGATGTATTGATATGAAATGTAAACGATCGCATTATAAAGTTGCTATTTGAGTAAGTGATTGAATAATTTGAAACCTGAAGCCGCAGATAATAACCTACTATGAACCAAGTACTGTTACCATGTGTGTAAAAATACAAATGATGAATTTTATCTGTGCAAAATATTAAAAAAAATCCTAATAATTTTTAAGATCTTAGGGTACATTTCTATTTTCCATCTGAAGAATTATTTCATTGGGACTTTGTAAAAAATATTTTTCCCCACTGAGAGTGGGGAAGGTTTTATTTTGTTGTTAAAGAAAATGTGGCTCTGAAAAACAGTCCAAATTAGAGCACTGTAATTAAATGAACCACTTTCTCTTATGCAAGATGTTTATTTTAATAATGACTATTTTACAACTCAGTGGAAACATGCAGCAATGTAATCTATTTCCATGGTCAGGATGACAAAAACAATGCACCCTCAACAGCCACAAGAGCCTGCCTTGTGTTAGTGAAATATGCAGCTACTATGTGCATTAAACAATATCTCTACATGAATTTCTAAGGACTGAAATACGTTTCATGCTTTTCTAGGGAAGAAGGGCACTGTGCAAAAATACTGCTCTTGGAGTACTGTGAAAATATGTGGGTATACTTGGGTTTTTTTTGTATTCCAAGGCCATTCTTTTTCCAATATCAGTCAAATATCTACCTCTTCTATTTTAGACCACCTTTCTAGGGTATAAATAATGACCCAAAGCTGGAAGTCCAATCCTCTGTGTCAGATTCATCTGCAAGAATATTCTCAAAATTTAAGAGAGTAGCTGGTAGTTATGTGATTGAAGCCCCACTTCCTTTTACAAGCAGTAGCCATCATCTGGATTTTTTAAAAAAAACCTCCTTCCCTGAATGCCCTGTGTGCAATTATTCAGTAATAAGTCTCTGTGAACTCAATGGGATTTATTTCTAACTAAGTGATGCATACCCATGCACCCTAATTCCCCCCCTGTGAATATTTAAATTGAATATTAGTACAATTTCACTATATGTTCCACTTGGACAGCCTAATTTCACCACAGTGAAAAAACATTCTTGCTTCTTCTTTTCTGTTTTTCTAAAGCTTCCAAATCTCTAGTGCTTTGTCAACTATAGAATTATAGTTGTGATTAATTTAAATTACAATTTAAAAGTATAGGCCTACAGAATACAAGAAGTACCTTTTCACTTTCTGATTATATTTTTATAGCTATGTATTAGAAAATCAAAGTGATAGTATTCATGGAAATACAAATAGTGACTAACCTATGTTAGTTACATCGGGTTGATCTCATCAGCAGATTAATCAATTATGGGATTGCCTCGAAGCATGAAAAAAAAAAACCTTGTAAGTTAAAAACAAATCTATTTTGCTGCATCAAATACTGTGGGGAAGGACTCTTCTGAATTAAAGCTGTTGGCACATTTTCTGGATTATTGTATATCTTTTCTTGAAATTAAAAAAAATGGCAAATGTATTCTTTGTTTTCAGATTATCAGTATTTCAGAGACATGTTTCTGAAATATTGCATGCCAGATGGCTCTGAAACAAAACACTCTATAAAGGGTCATCATTTAGTGTCTCCCCCACTTTGTGGTTGTTCCAGAAATCCCAGCTATCTTTCTCAGGTTACAGCAGCTTCAAGTTTCTTTTTTAAAAAAATGTGAGGCAGAATAAACTTCTCACACCAGTAGGCCAGTACTGGTGATTTGTCACAGAATAATCCTAGCATTGCTCTGATACAATGAAGCCTTCCTTCTCACCAACTGGTTCCACTTCAGAATAGGAGGGGTGTCCAGATCCTCTCCGAAATTTCATTGCAGGCCATCTGCTTGGGCGACGCTAGAGGAGAACACATGGCACAAAGAATTCACAGTACTGGAATTGTTATGAATAATTACCACACTTATTCCTATATAGGTGATGTTAGGAATGTAAGTCACCTAACAGTTATTTGGGTTGGAAATATATAAACCAGGATAGACATTTTAATACTGTATCTTTAAGAGAATCCTAAAACTGTAATTGGTGTGGTTTCTCATACGGCCATAAGATGGAGCCAGAAACCTGGCTTGTTTAGTCTCAGAAGTGAGTGAGTCTCTGTTTCCTTCTGTTGGGAGAGTTTTGCCGTTCCTCCTAATGACTGTTAACTGATCATTGATGTAAGTCTGTTACTGAACTATTTTTTGATACTGGTCTTTGATATTTGGATTATCCTTGAACACTGACTGTCTTACCTGTGAATGACTTGGACTGCTTATCTTGGACTGTGCTTAAACGTTTATTGGAAGTAAACACTTACATTTACTGTACGGTGTATCTGTGTGCTGTGTGTGTATTATTCTTCACTACTCTCACTACGTCTCCCTGTATGCGCTCATTCTCTTAACGAGGAATTATCTCAACATTGGTTATGGGCCCAGGCCATACCAGGCTCAGATAACTGAGAGTTAGTGTGAATACACAGTACTGTATACAGACAGCTATTTACTGTTTAATTGTGGGTTAATATCCTGGTAAAGATGGCAGAAGACACTTCAACAAGTCTATCACTGATAACCCGGTTGGATGGAAAAAACTATGTTTCCTGGTCTATGAAGTGCAGTCTACTTCTGCGTAGAGAAGGGTTATGGAATGTAGTTCAAGATCCACCAGATGTAAATGCTTGGGATCCAGAAAATGAGGACGATGCCAAGAAGTTAGCTGACTTTTAAATGGAACAACAAATGAGCTCTTTGTATAATTGGACTAACACTGAGTGACCAGCAGCTAGTCCATATTCGTGGAGAAGAGTCTGCTGCTAGGTGTTGGGAGAATTTGAAGAGGATTTATGTTCGTGACAGTGTAGGTGCACACATACATCTTACACGCAAACTGTTTAGAGCACATCTTTTGAAAGGTGGAGATATGTTAGTTCATTTGAACTTCATAAAAATAACTTTTCAAGAGCTACATAAAAAGGAACTGATATTTTCACAGCTGCATCAAGTTTACATCATTCTTTCCTCATTGGATGAAAGTTATGATGATTATGTATCTTCACTGGAAGTCCTGACACATAAACTGACACTGACTGACATAATCGGAAGGCTGTTAGAAGAGGCAAGAAGATGGCTCGATAGGGACCAACTGAGGAAGGAACAACCACAAGAAGAAGATTTGTGTTCAACTGTCTATACTGTTAGGAAATGTTTTTCTTGTGGAGCTAGGGGACATGTAGTTAGATTCTGTAAGAAGGAAAAATGACAGAATACTGGTAATCACCAAAAGGCTAAGAAAAATGTTAGTTTAGCTATGTCTAGCAATTCAACTGTAAACCATGATTTGTGGGTTGTTGATAGTGGAGCATCACAATGCATTACTAAAAATAGAGAGAGGTTTATAAATATGTCCACAAGTAAAAAACATGTATCTTTGGCAAATGGATGGAAGATGAAGGCATCTGGTGAAGGTACTGCATATTGTTCTTGTATAAACGAGCATTTAACTATGTTATATGTACCTAAAGTGAAATGTAATTTATTATCAGCAAGGGCTTTAGTTAATATTGGTTATGTAGTAACCTTTAGGGGAGATACCGTATAATAGGGAAAGAGGGTAAAAGTGTTACTGCTACATTAGAGAATGACTTATATGTGATACATGATGACCAGTTGAAGATGGCTAACTTGGTTTATAACAATGTTAAGCCACATGATGAATGTATACATTTACTGCATAGACGTCTGGGGCACATTAATTTCAAAATGCTCAAACAAACTGTTGAATTGTCAGAGGAAGTAAAATTGAAACCCTGTAGCAAGTATTTAAACTGTAATGCTTGTAGCCAAGAGAAAAGCATTACTCCAGAAAACAGACTTAATGGGGTTAAGACCAAAGAACCTTTAGAGGTTGTTTTTGCTGACATAATTGGTCCTAAGAAACCTAGTTTAGGAGGTGCCTGCTTTATTTTGAGTATTATGGACCATTACTCACAATATGGTTTCTTCTATCTTATGAAAAACAAAACAGAAACATTCCAACATTTCTTTAACTGGCTAAGGTTTGCTGAGAGAAAAATGAAAAGTAAAGTAATTACTATAGTTAGTGATAACGGGACTGAGTTTGTTAACAAGAGATTCCCAAATATGTTGAAATTGGCTGGTGCTGAGCATAAATGTTCTGCACCTTACAGACCACAACATAACTCGTTTGTAAAACGTAGGGGGCAAACATTACAAGCCATGGCTCGTACTATGTTATCTGACTCAGGTTTGCCTGAAACACTGTGGGGTGAAGCCATAACGTGTAGTAACCATGTGTTAAACAATGTAGTTAACACAACAATTGGTGAATTGCCATTCACTTGTTGGCATGGCAGAAAACTAAATTTAAGTTACCTACACACATTTGGAGCTCCAGCATGGGTGCATATTCCCTCACAAGTAACACTGAAAGGGCAACATAGAGCTAAGAAGTTATTTTTTATAGGTTATGAGGCCAAACATAGATCATTTAGATTCTGGGATCAAGGCACAGCTCACGTTTATTGTAGTGCTAGTGCAAAATTTCTTGAGCATGTTGGGTGGGATAAACTGGAACAGGAATCCAGAAATGATATTATTATTGACACCCAAAAAGTCCCTAAAGATAAAATCAGTAAACCACGAATAGCCATTAAAGAGGAAGCACAGGAGGAAGTAGTAGAACAGGCACAGGAAGAAGTAGAAGAACAGGAGCAGGTGGAACAGGTGAGTCCACCAATAAGCCATGTATTACCAAGACGTTCAACCTGAGTAACACGACCACCTGATAGATATCAGGCTAATGTTGTATGCCAAGTGAATACAGTTCCAAGTAATTATAGTGAATTGAAACTGTATCCTGCTAAGGATCAGGCTGCTTGGCAGGTAGCAATGGATAAGGAAGTGGAATCATTAAAAAAGTTGGAAGTATACGAAAATGTTAAGTTACCACCAGGTAAACATTTTTATTTCTTTATTTATTTCTTATTTTATTTGATTTGTCAATTGCTTACAAGATAATAGGCATAAGTATATACATAGTTATAAACACATGAAATGGGTACATATAAGAAAAATAAAAGAAACAATAGAACAGGGACGGTAGGCACGCTGGTGCGCTGATGCACGCCCCTTACAGACCTCTTAGGAAAGGGGTGAGGTCAATAGCAGACAGTCTAAGGTTAAAGTTTTTGGGGTTTGGGGAAGAAACCACAGAGTCAGGTAGAGTATTCCAAACATTGACAACTCTGTTGCTGAAGTCGTACTTCCTGCAATCAAGTTTGGTGCGATTAACCTTGAGTTTGTATCTATTGTGTGCTCTTGTGTTGTTATGGTTGAAGCTGAAGTATTCATTGACAGGTAGGGCATTCCAATGTATGATTTTATATACCATACTTAGATCAGACCAAAGATGGCGTAATTCAAGGTTTTCTAGGTCTAGAATTTGAAGTCTGGTGGCATAAGGTATTCTACAACAAGTAGAGGAGTGGACAACTCTTCTTGTGAAATATTTCTGGACTTTCTCAACTGTGCTAATATCAGATACGTAATGTGGGTTCCAGACTGATGAGCTGTATTCAAATATAGGTCTAGCAAATGTTTTGTATGCTCTAGTTAGTAGTGTGATATTATCAGAGAAAAAGCTATGTAGGATTAGGTTAACAACTCTTAATGCCTTTTTGGCTATGTAGTTACAGTGGGCTCTAGTACTTAGATCATTAGAGATGAGTATTCCAAGGTCCTTTACAGAGCTTGGATCATCAATAAGATCTTGACTATTCAGCCTGTATTTTATTTTCTGATTTTTTTTGCCAATATGTAAGACAGAGCATTTATTTGTTGAGATTTGAAGTTGCCATTTGTTTGACCATTCTGATACATAGTCAAGATCTTTTTGAAGGGTAGCAGTATTGTCTGTGGTATTGAACAGCTTTACATCATCAGCGAAAAGAACGCAGTTGCTCTTAATATGATCACAGAGGTCATTTATGTAGAGTATGAAGAGAGTTGGTCCTAGAACACTGCCTTGGGGGACACCACTATTGACAAGTACAGAATTTGATAGGACACTCCCAATTTTGACCATTTGTTATCTGCTTGACAGGAATGCTTCTATCCAGTTATGCAGTTGTCCAGAGTTACCATACGATTTTACTTTTAGGAGTAGTTTGTCATGTACCACTGAATCAAAGGCTTTACAGAAGTCTATGTAGTGTAGTCCATATGTTTTTGCAGTGTAAGAGTTGCAGATTACAGGATATTTTTTTCTGAAACCAAATTGTTTATTGGAGAGTAGGTTGTTTGTCTCTAAGTGGAGGATAATGGATTGGTTAATAATTGGTTAATAATTGATTCCATGACTTTACAGGTGATGCAGCATAAAGAGATTGGTCTGTAATTTTTAACTAAGCTGGGGTTTCCCTTTTTGAAGATGGGGATGACCGTGGCTTGTGACCATAGGTTAGGCAAGGAGCTGGTCCTGAAAGATTTTTCAAAGATTATGCTTAGAGGTTTGGCTATGGCAGTGGATAGCTTTTTAAAGAAGTAGGCACATATTCCATCCGGTCCAATAGATAGAGATGGTTTTAGATTGCGTAGTGCTTTTTCAACATTGTCTTCTGTAAAATAGATATGTATTAGATCATTATAGTTATCTGTGGTTCAGCTAGAAAATACTGGGCACGATCCATTGCTGTTTACAAATACTAAGCCGAAGAATGTGTTAAAGTTGTTGGCTTTAATGGTGTCGTCGTTGCAGTCTTTACCATTAGGTCCTATCGAGGTGGAATGGACCTTGAGTCTTTTAGTTTGTTGTTTACAAAATTGTAAAAAGCGCGG